TGCACTGAATCGGTTCTAAAGTTTAATCGGTTTATTTTATTTTTCAGATCTGAGGTTAACTATCTGCAGCTGCTTTCAGTAGTATGGCAATAAATGTCATGTAAAATGGCATTTAAGCACACATTATTAGCATTTAACATTAAATAAAGCACATAAGATGCACCTGATTGGTGTCTTCAATCTGGCAACCTGCGATTGTGCGTTTCAAACCAGGCATGCAATACCTAGCTCAACCACTGGGTGTCAAACTTACGTACTGCACCTTTAAAGTATTACAAAAAAATATAGAGCAACTTACTGCAGTAGGGGGAAGTGTATATTTTGGTCATTGGATTTTAATTTTAGAAACAGATATTGAAAAAAAATATATGTTTTTTTTTGCTTTAAAATACAAAAAAAACTACTGAAATACAAAGCATTTTTTGATTTTCGTTTTTGAATTTTAAAACGAAAATAAAAAAAGGTTGTTTTTCTTTTTCATGGTAAAAAACGGAAAAGCAAAATTCAAAAAAGAAAATCAAAAATGCTTAAAATTTACATTTTTGTTTTAGAATTTTAAAATGAAGATCAAAAAACAATTCTTTTTTTGTTTTTCAATAACTGTTTCTTATAAAAATCCAATGACCAAAAGATACACTGACCCAGTAGCAAATAAAGTAGTGTTTTTATATTGCATTTAATAATAGAAGTCACTTTCTGTGAAACTAGCACAATAGGCTAAATTGAGCGTGCATGCAAATTTTTTTAATCATGCACATCTTTTTATGCTGCATCCTAAAATGTGATAGGTGAATGGAAGCCTCATAAGCATCATAAGACAGCACACGTTCAGTAACTAAATCTTAAAAAAAATAAAAATAAATAACACTGCACAAATATTCTACATTTTGACATGACAATAAATCTGCACTTCTGTCCTCTATTATAGTGGCTAACAGCTCAAAACCAACCCCTCTCCCAACAACAGGTATGTTTTTCATTTTTCTGTATCATGTTAGGGGATACTCCAATATTCATATTCAATGCACTTTTGAGCTTGAAGTGCAGCACTGATAAATGGAAAAAAAGTGTATTTTTAACACTATTAACTATATTTACAATCATCAATTCATTTATTCAAACAATTAAAATCAGGGTTTCTACAGGTTTTTACAAGGGAATATTTAAGATCTTTTTAAGACTTCAAGACCAAATATTGAGTATATTTTTAATCTAAAACCCATCACCATTCAAGGCAAGGCAAGTTTATTTCTATAGCACATTTCATACACAGTGGCAATTCAAAGTGCTTTACATGGAATAAAAGAAACAAGAAAATAAGAACAAATGAATTAAAACAGATGAAAAATGTGTTAAACAGGTTATAAAAGAATGAAAAAGAAAAGAAAGACACAACAGTGCGATCTGTCGGATGTAGAACAGTGCTCATTCAGGAAAGGCACAGCTAAACAGATGTGTGTTCAGTCTTGATTTAAATGTACCTAATGTTGGAGCACATCTGATCATTTCTGGAAGCTGACTCCAGCAGCAGGGGGCGCTGTTAGTAGCTGAAAGCTGATTCACCCTGCTTTGACTGAACTCCTGGCGTTTCTAGTTTTTATGATCCTAATGATCTGTTAGGTTTGTATTTAGTGAGCATATCTGTCATGCATTGAGCTCCTAGGCCATTTAGTGATTTATAGACCAGTAATAATACTTTAAAATCTATTCTGAATGTAACTGGGAGCCAGTGTAGAGACCTGAGGATAGGTGTTTGCTAAAATCCTGGCCGCAGCGTTCTGGATGAGCTGCAACTGTCTAACTTTCTGGGAAGGCCAGTGAGGAGTCCGTTACAGTAATCCACCCTGCTGCTGATAAAAGCATGAACGATTTTCTCACTGGAAACAAAGCATCTGATGTTTTTGAGATTATGGTATTGCTTTGCATTCACTGCCATTATATGAATCACCAAGATCAGCTCAAAATCTGATTTAATGTCCTACTGAAGAAAAAAGGTTACTCACATTTTAGATGAGCTGTTAACTACTACTAACAAGCATCTTTTGTTTTTAATAGACGTCTAAAATGTCTTCATAGTCTTCTTGGCTAAAACAAGGCTAAATTTGGGCTGTCGGTGAAAATCTAATAGACGTCTGATAGGCTAAAACTAGACTAGTCATCAAATAAACAGAATTTAATGACTACACATATAAAGTCTGTCTAGTTTTGGGCTAACCTTAGACGTCTATTAGATTTTCACTGACAGCCCAAGTTTAGCCTTAGTTTAGGGTGGTTTCACACCTGCCTTATTTAGTTCGATTGAATCGCACTAGAGTTCGTTTCCCCTTTTGGTACGGTTCGTTTGGGCAGGTGAGAATGCAGCAATCGTACTCGAGTGCGCACCAAAAGCGGACCAAATAAGCGTATTGAGACCTGCTTGAAGAGTTGGTCTTGGTATGCTTTCAAATGAACCCTGGAGAGGTTCGTTTGTGGTGAGAATATGATCCGTACTAAAACAGGTCCAACTGCAAAAGATACTAGGCGTTTTGGACCAATTCAGCTGCCGTAGGCCGATGCGCTGTGCATTATGGGATATGGAGGAAAAATATTTGTTGACAGCGCTTTACCAACAGAGAGAGAGAGAGAGAGAGAGAGAGAGGGGAAAACATTACATGTTGGATCGTTGGAAATATTTCCGCAAGATGAGCATGTCGCAGTTTGGCTAAATTAATTCACGCCTCCTCCTGAAATGCCGCAGCCGCGCTTCATTTTCGTAATGTATAGTTTGTCTAAAGCAGGCATACAATCAGTCAGCGCAGTCGTCCCTCCAGAGTAAAAGGTTTTGTTTACCTGCGGGAGTTCATTGGCATTTTCCCGCACGTGATATCTGACCAATCAATAAGCAGTTTAGGAAATATGTTCAACAACATCTGGCCAATGAGAGATGTGGATTTTGTCAGATGACTGTATTTTGGTTCGTTTCAACTGTTTCCGACCAAAGCCAGCAGCGTGGTGTGAAAACGACCTAAGACGGCAGAAGATGCTACAATGTATCATTTATTGCGCTTGGTCCGGACCAAATGAAGCAAACTACAGTTGTGAAAGCACCCTTAGTCAAGCTGTCTATGTTCAGATGTCTATTAGATGTCTATTAAACACATAATAGTTTGCTGGGTCCCTTTAAAGGGCCATGACACCCCCCACGTTCGGTTAAAGTCTACTTCAGAATTTTTTCAAAAGATGCATGATTAATGGGCGAGGAGCTCCGCGAGCATCGGGCAGGAGTGGGCGTGGCCAGCAGGGGAGAGGGGGAGTGAACAACTGTTGATGTCATTTAGCTCACAAATTGAGACAAACCGTGAGGAGACGCATGAGTTTATAGTTCACAAAGTTAAAAATGCAAAGAAATAAACAGTAATTTAATGCCCTGCTACATTTGTTATTCGTAATTTCATATACAGACAACCACAATTGATATCATTATAAAGATAAGTGTGTTCATGTAAACACTATAAATGAGGATTTTCCGTCAATCCCCAGGTCTAAATCATAGATCTAAATGCAGACTCAGTGGAGCAGGTCTCCTGACCTGTCTATTTTAACCGTTAGCCCTGCTGGTAATCTGGAGGATTTAGGCGAACACAGCAGCACAGTGATGTGTCTGAATGTGAATGAACTCCTGATACAAGACAACATCCGCTATTCTTCAATTCTCGTGCTGCTCTCCCGACAAAAATGCTAGCAGCACACACAAAGCTTTGCTGTATGATCGGCCCTGACAGGATCGCGGGGAAAAACATGCAACAAACCCCGTGAATCATGGAAACAAACGCATACGAGCCTTCATAAACGGCTACTGCGTGCCCGTGGGTCCGTGTCTCACAGCTTGAGTTTGGCACTGGTCTGGCAGGTCTGCGTCTGCCTTGCCTTCGGAAAGCGCGTGCTGTCATGCTCTCATGAATAATTAAGCAGCCGGCTCTACTCATAGGATAAGGAAACTCCGCTATGAATAATTATGAGTAACCGACGCGTCATCATTGCACTTGTGGTACTTCGCTACGTCGCCGATTTTGATCCCTCCCCAAAAATCATTTTAAACCCGGAAGCTGAAATTAGCTGACAAAATCTCAAAACTATCCAGTTTTCCCCACAAATAAAGCTGACAGGTGCTAACATTGTCTTAACTGATGCTCAACACACATACAACTGTTAATATATAAAAAAAAAAGTTCTCCAAAGTGTCCTGAACCTTTAAGGCCTCAATTTCATTCATTCATTCATTTAATTTCTTTTCAGCTTAGTCCCTTTATTAATCAGGGGTCGCCACAGCGATATGAACCGCCAACTTATCCTGCAACCCAGCACCGATATACTCTTGCATTCATACACATACACTACGGACAATTTAGTTTCTTCATTTCACCTATAGCACATGTGTTTGGACGGTGGAAAAAGCGGAGCACCCGGAGGAAACCCACGCCAACAGGGGGAGAACATGCAAACTCTGCACAGAAACGCTAACTGACCCAGCCGAGGCTTGAATCAGTGACCTTCTTACTTCCACAGCGCTACCCACTGCACCATCGCATCACCTGGGCTTACTTTGCCTACTTTATTTACTTTATAAGACCTGTGGAAACCCTGACAATATAACATTACTGAATGGATATCCCAAATCAGGACATCATAATAATACAGTCAAGCATAAAACACGAGAATCATTTATAAAGTCACTCATTTGTCAGTAAGAAATCATTAAAGAAATCATTAAACACATCTGTTTAGCTGTGCCTTATGAGCTCTGTGCTACGTCCGACAGATCGCACTATTATGTTTTTCATTGTCTTTTTCATTCTTTATAGCCTATTTTAACTCATTTTAATTTGTTTTTATCTGTTTTTAGTTATTTTTATTGTCTGCATTTTATGTTCCTAAACTTGTCTTTTTTATTCCTGTTTATGTAAAGCACTTTGAATTGCCACTGTGTATGAAATGTGCTATATAAATACACTTGCCTTGCCTTGCCTTGTGCTTGTGTCTAATGCTGGATTAATGGTTGTATTGACGTCTCGTGTTTCTACTGTAGGCTCGTGTTCAGGTCCGACTGTGCTGTGCTGTGCTGGTATGAACTACGACTGTTTTAGAGGCTGTTTTTGTGATGAAGTCTGCAAAAACTTAAAAGACTGCTGTCCTGACTTCAACAGCACCTGCTGTAAGAACCCACATACCCACATTCATCTTTCATTATGTCTGTAGCAGTGTAGATTGTGTCAAAGCAGCTTAAAATACATGAAGTTCTAGTAAATTGCTGTAAAATTGTAATCTAGTCTAGTGAATTCTAGTAAACACTTCTCCTTATAGATCATTCTTGAAGCGACAGCTCTGTCATTTAATGGTAAACAAACTAAAAATCTACTTAAGTGATTCATTTGCTGCTCTGCACTAACAAACTAGTTCCTTTTAACGGATAGCACTGTATTTATTTGAAGATGAATACAACAATTACTAATACATCAATCTTCCTCTGTCATCTGCTTTATAGTTTTCAATTCTACAACTTCACCACCTTCAACCAACTCCACTACAGCCTCTCAGTTCACCTACACTACTCCATCCACTTCCACCCAATATACCTCCGCCTCAACTTCTTCATCCACTTCCACCCAATATACCTCCACCTTAACTTCTCCATCCACTTCCACCAGATATGCCTCTACAGTCCAACCCAAAGGTGATTCACTGGTGTGACCTTTTACCATTGGCTTTTACCATTACCATTTTAACCAAATGATCCCTCAAATACAGTGAAACTAAAATGTGTGTTGGTTATTTTACAGATGTTCTTACAATACTGACTAATCTGGAGGTGGAGGTTTTGGCTGAGGAGTCGTCCACTGAAAAAGAGAGGCAGGATGCACTGCGTCAGGTGAGGACACTGTTATGGATATTTTCTAAACCACATTTTCTTTCCACCCGGTTTGGCCGTTTGTCCACACGAAAGTGATGTGTCAGGTAACTAAAAATGAAACTTTCTGAAAACTCCGGGTGGGTTAAAATTTTCTCCAGGTACAGTGTAGTCTTGAATACAACTGGAATGTTTGCCTCATGATGACTGCATGCACAGTTTTTTCCTTTTCCAACACAAAATCAGATATCGCAGTCAATGTAGTGAAATATATAAAACAAATTATTTTCCTCAGCATTCTTGAAGAATGCAACACAAAGATGGCCTGGTAGCCCTGTCCTAAAGGACTGATAGCCCCGCCGTAAAGGACTGACAGCCCCGCCCTAAAAGGACTGACAGCCCTGCCCTAAAAAACTGATAACCCCGCCCTAAAGGACTGACAGCCCCGCCCTAAAAGGACTGACAGCCCTGCCCTAAAAGACTGATAACCCCGCCCTAAAGGACTGACAGCCCCGCCCTAAAAGGACTGACAGCCCTGCCCTAAAAGACTGATAACCCCGCCCTAAAGGACTGACAGCCCCGCCCTAAAAGGACTGACAGCCCTGCCCTAAAAAACTGATAACCCCGCCCTAAAGGACTGACAGCCCCGCCCTAAAAGGACTGACAGCCCTGCCCTAAAAGACTGATAACCCCGCCCTAAAGGACTGACAGCCCCGCCCTAAAAGGACTGACAGCCCTGCCCTAAAAGACTGATAACCCCGCCCTAAAGGACTGACAGCCCCGCCCTAAAAGGACTGACAGCCCTGCCCTAAAAGACTGATAACCCCGCCCTAAAGGACTGACAGCCCCGCCCTAAAAGGACTGACAACCCTGCCCTAAAAGACTGATAACCCCGCCCTAAAGGACTGACAGCCCCGCCCTAAAAGGACTGACAGCCCTGCCCTAAAAGACTGATAACCCCGCCCTAAAGGACTGATAGCCCTGCCCTAAAAGGACTGTTAACCCCGCCCTAAAGGACTGACAGCCCCGCCCTAAATGACTGATAGCCTTGCCCTAAATGACTGACAGCCCTGCTCTAAAGCACTGACAGCGCATGGCTGTGTGTGCGTCTGTGTGGTCACGTGATGTGCATTTTCAGAGGTAGATAGGAAGGAGGGCTGCTCAGAAATGCTACACGCCACTGTGGATGTCGAATCGTTGTCGTTCTAAAATGCCATTTAAAAACAAAGACAGTGTAAACAGGGCTTGAGTGTGTACTTTTCGCGAGCGGATTTGCAACGGGGGCGGGCGGAGGATCGCGATGCCGGTGTTGTCTATCGGACGAACCGTACGTAATACGTACATAGCAGAGCTTGCAAAACTGTGTTTTTTTTTTTGTCGACAACACGAACGTTGTCAACATAACACCGGCGACTTCATTGAAAGAGGAGAGGGTTTAAGCTCTGTCGACGGGTCTCCTGCTTCTGCACTTTAACAAGCACTTCAACAAGCCTGTTTTTTTCCCGCTTGGCAAGCTAAGCTGACGTGACATGGGGGCGTGGCAGCATCGACGATTCTATTTTTAAATTTGATAATCGAATATGAGCATAAATTTCGATCGATTTCGATAGATTGCTGATAACCAAGTATTTCAGTATTTTAATGTCAGCCTTTCTACAGATTAGTAGTAAGCTAATGTAATTTCAGAATGCAAATCTTAAATTCATGCTAACCAACAAATGATCATAGGAAATATATTAATGTAATTCAAATATATAAAATATGAATTGATGTTCACTTTAAACTTTAATTATATTGTTCTATTAAAATTATTTTTTTTAAAGATTTTGTCAAAGAAAAGATTTTTCTAGAGTCATCCACTATAATTTTGCAGCTCAAAAGTATCGGTTCAGGCACCGTTTTGTCACCAGTATCGTTTTAAAAGTATCGATTTAGCATTGGTATCGAAATAACCCCAAACGATACCCGATCAAGAAACGATACCCAAGAAAAAGGTCTCTTTACTGTGCTTTTTTTCACCTGCTGACTTCCTAATTCTTGTCATCTTGTTTCTCAGGTTTTCTCAGATTTGATGATGAGTTTAGCAGAAAATGACACTGATATCTACTCATATGAGGTCACGAGAATTCAGCCATTATCACCATGTGATTGAGTCAGGAATCAACCCAGATGAAGACATTCACACTGCTGCTGGACTTTCACTAATTTAAGAAGAGATCTGAACATTTATGTTGACAATTCAACTAATTTGTGCATTTCTGACACAAAATCATTGTATGTGCTTTAAACTAACACACACACACGCTAACTGATGTGAAGTATGTGATGAATGTAGTAAGGAAACAGATTTATTATCTACTGTCATGTAATCCTTTGTTCCTCCTTTCATTAGCACAGATCAGAATCTGCTCATGTACTTGACACTGTTTTGTTTTTTGTGTGTGATTGCTGTATAATGATTACACTGCAAATAAACACCAGATGAGGAAGAACCCTTGTCAACCCATTCACACAAACAAAAAGGCACAATTGAATAACCCCTTCACTGCTATTGTCTGCCAGCAGGATACTTAAGTTTACTTCACTATATTGCAATTAAATTTTAATTTAATCATGACAAGCTAGGTATCATTGGAAAGGTGTAATACTATTGAATGCATATTTACCAGTTATTTGTTTTGTGCTACATATGAAAAATAATAGATTAATAATCATTTACTGTCACCCTATATTATTATTATCACCCTAATCAGAGTGATAATAATATTATATTCTATAATAATATTTTAGTCTAAACATGCTGCAATCATGACAAACTATATGTCATTTGAAAGCTTAAAATATCTAGTTTCCATATTTCAAGACCAATTTTTGATAGATGATCTAGAGTAACAGTTATTTATTAATTAGTGATGAGGACACTCAAGTCATAAAGCATTACTTTGCTACAGCAATCTACAAGTAAAATCACATAAACGTGTTAGAAACCTATAAAATATAACATCCATTCTTTATTTTGAGGAAACAAATGTTAGAAAATGTATTAAGTATTATGAAAAAGCTAAAGATTCTTAGTTTGTGAAGCAGTGCTAGAGCTGCACGATTCTGGCTAAAATGAGAATCGAGATTTTTTTTGCCTAAAATAAAGATCACGATTTTCTCACGATTCTGTAGATGTAAAATAAAGGGTAATACGAGTGGGCTATTGTTATTGTTATTCTCAAACATGTGGTAAAACAGCAATAGGCTTTGTGTAGCTCTACTGTTGGTTAAAATGCTAAATGTTGTATGGCAGGGGTCTCAAACTCAATTTACCTGGGGGCGGCAGGAGGCAAAGTCTGGGTGAGGCTGGGCCGCATAAGGGATTTCACACAAAAAAAGTCCTCAAATGTCATTATTAACAGTTTTAATTATTTGTTCTGAACATGAAGTGTCCTGAACATTAATAGAACATTGAGTGAAGATTATGAACAGTTCTTCTGAACATGGCATCTTTTGCCTACTTCTTGCTGCCAGAGACTTGACAGCGCTTCTTCTCACAAATCTGAACCACATTTGGCTTTAGAGCGGAAGCAGTTGAGACCCTCAGTATGGCTTGAAGATGATCATCATTAAGTCTAGACCTGTACTTTGACTTATTGAAGTCCTAGGGAAAAAAGTGGGGGAACTCACTCAAAACTTCCATTCCCTCACCTAAAAAAAAGGCGTATATATGTATAAATAAAACACCCCCACCCCACTCCAGTCACAACAGTCTGTACCAGTCTGTATCTACCTATAATATCAACACAATCTCACGGCAATTCGTAACTTTTTCATTTAGTGGCTAATTCGTATGAATTCGTACGATCTAATTCGTACAATTTAGTACGATTTGCTTATCCCCCAATGACGGTTGGGGTTAGGGGTGGGGTCAGGTGCCACGCCTCCTTTTAAAAATCGTTCCATTTCGTACGACTGAATTCGTACGAATTAGCCACTAAACTGGCAAAATGTAAAATACTTACGTTTTCTCGTGAGATCAGGCTGATAATATATATAAGATGCAGGCACGTGCACACATAGGGCTCAACCTGTGCAGTGCACTTGCCCTTTTTAGTCTTGCATAGAAAGTGCCCTTCCAAAATGATCAAAAGTGCCCCCGCGACGCGACACACCCTCGGTCCCGCCCTTCAGTAGGCGCGCGATAACACCGCTCTTGAGTACGCGCGCGACAACACAGCTGATCAGAACGCGCGCGACAACGCGCATTGACTGAAAAGCGCGCTGTGTACGGATAGAATCAGCGGAGCGGGCAGCGCTCTCTCTCCCCGCTCCGCTGATTCTGTCAGAGTACAGCGGTCGGCGCGGGCCACAAAATATTGCACTGAGGGCCGCAAATGGCCTGCGGGCCGCGAGTTTGAGACCCCTGTTGTATGGACTTGGAATGGTGGATTTGAACAGACTTTAGATTTGTCCTGGTCATTAATGCTGATGATAATTCTGATGTTGAATTATTGTGTTTGAGACGTATGCTTACAATCTGTCATTTCCTGCTTAAAATCTGTCACTGACGTGATTTTTGTGAATACAGAAGACTGGGTGGGTATTTTTGCATTTCGGCGGGTTTTAGCTTTAGGTTTCATATTCACTGCTCAGAGAGGTTCACTTCCCGTGCTGCTCCCAAACGATCACTCTGTGCCACAAACTGAATGTTATTTACAACTTTATCACCTGTTATTCACAGCATTTGCAGGTTCTGTTCACTAAAGTAAACTTCATTCAGAGGCGCGTGCACCCGCCCTCTCCCTCTGTAGTAAAAACTGATGGTCAGCTCACTGGTCAGCTGGTGTGATTTTGTGGTCGCAAATACATTACATGAAGACTTAAATTACATTTTTGGGGTGAATTATAACTTATAAATACAGTATTTGACTCTTTCAACACCATTTGGAGCTGTCCACATTGCTGAACAACATATGTAAAACTTTGAGGACTTGTGCGGCCACCATTGCTTCTCTCCTGAACTTGACAGAATCGTAGAAATGCTGGATTCAGATTGTCTAGGGGTCCAATCAAGATCGCGATTTTTTTCACGATTAATTGTGCAGCTTTATGCAGTGCTATAATAACTATAACAAGCATTCTGGTTTCTCAAGGCTTTTTTGAATAAAATATAATAATTCGGATGCTAAATTCAATAATAATAATAATAATAATAATTCATTTTATTTGTAAATGACGCCTTTCTAGACACCCAAGGTTGTCTTACAATAAGCATCAACAGCCATGCTAAAACAAATTAAAACAAATAATAAAACATTACTAAACAAGCATTGACCAAACGGGTATAAACACATTGACGTTGTGAATAGAAAAAAAAACATGATAAAAACAATACAAAAATTGTTAAAAGGAAAGCCTGCTTAAAAAGATGAGTCTAGACGCGATTTAAATGTGTCTATCACTGCTCCTTAGATTCAGGGAAAGCGAGTTCCATAACCGAGGAGCCAAAGAGCTAAAAGATCTGTCTCCCATTGTGCTCAATCGAGTGCGAGGTGGTACCAGAGAGTTGGCTGCGAGAAGGGGTGCAAATATGGAGAAGTTCGGTGGCATATTGAGGAGCAAGATTATGAAGTGCCTTGAAAGTTAGAAGTAATATTTTAAAATCAATACAAAACTTTGCTTAAATTCAAATCAAATGTCACAAAAATGCCCATGCTTATTTAAAATTTGATGTCTACTTTACAAATATGGGCAAACATATGAAAAAAATGGTTCATATTGCTCAAACCATACACAGAAATAGGGGGGCGCTCTTTCATAGTCACCAATGGAAACTAAAGTGGTCATGTTTGGTACTGCACCTAAACAAAATCTCACTGAAAGCTCATTTCTTTAAAGATATCAACTTCAAATTTGGTATAGAGTTTGGTCAAACATGTAGCTTTGATTTTATACCAAACCTAGTTTTGTAAAATATATTTTTTATACAATTTAATAAAATATACATTAATTGTTTTATTTGTTCATTCATTGTCCTTCAGCTTAGTCTATTATATATCAGGGGAATGAACCGCCAACTATTCCAGAGCATGTTATACACAGCGGATGCCCAGCACTGAAAAACACCCATACAGTCTTGCATTCACACACACACTCATACACTACGGCCAATTTAGATTCTTCAATTTCCCTATAGCGCATGTCTTTGGACTGTGGGGGAAACCGGAGCAGCCGGACGAAACCCACGCCAACACGGGTAGAACATGCAAACTCCAACCAGAAACGACAAATTGACCCAGCCAGGACTTGAACCAGCGATCTTCAAAACTGATATGTGGGCCATGTAAGTTTAGCCTTTCTTGACCCACATTTAAAATACTTATTAATTATTTCTGAGTAAAGAAATTTTTTTTTTTGGTTAAAATTTTACCAAACATGTCGCATCGAGAAAAAAACATGCCCAAAACGCACCCAAAGCACAATGCTTTATGGGTTTATCAATTTCATTGCAGTCGTGATAGACATATCTGGCCCAGTTATGGGTTATTAACTTAGCTGAGCCTTGGTCTATGTTTGACCCTTGTCTAAAAGCCAGACTTGGCTCAGTCATGTACTGTTATTGCATTTGGGCCGAGCAAAAGCTGATTGCTGGTTCAGAGAAATTTTGCTATGGGAGTAGCAGCTGGACTTTTACCATTGTAATTAAAGATCTGATCATTTATACTGACAGATGCATCTCTAACACAAAAGTATGAACTTTAACACGCACATAACCTACAAAACTGATAAGAAGCATGGAAAGAATTTAGTAAAAAAAAGCAATTCGTTATCTGCTGTCATGAAATTCCTCATTCCTCCATTTTCACTGATGGGAATCTGCTCATGTACTTGTATTGGTTTTTTGAGGTTATTGCATAAAAATGAAATATAATATGATAAAAAACAGATGAGGAAGAACTCGTCAAACTCAAACTCGTGTTTTGAGTCCTGAATTCATGTCTATTATTTATTTAATGACTTGTGTATTATGCACCAAGTTACAATCTACTTTAAGCTGTTTTTAAAATGTTTTGTGAATACAGGTCCTGAAATCCTGATTTGCTTATGGTTATTTTCAGAAAGTGCTGCTTTAGAGCCCTCGTTTCACTCAGAATTGAGAGATATTAAATATATTTATAAGCTCTTTTTTTTTTTGACTGTGTTCATTTTGAGTAATGGTTTTCTGTGCTTCCAGATTATATTTTCCAGGCATTTTTATTCGATTTAAAGTCAAAATTACGAACTTTAAAGACCTTTTTTGGGAATATTATAAATGACATTTTTGACTTATACAGGGCTAAACACTAAGGATTTTTTTTTTCAGAGGCAGCGGATAAGATTTACCCCATCATAAAAATAAAAAGCTATGTTTATTTTAAAATACATCAAAAAAAGCAAAACCTAGTTGTATGCATATACGTAAAATGCAACCTATATATATATATATATAAATATATATATAATA